AGGACATCACAGACAAAAATGATCCCCCAAAGGATCACCAGCACACTTCTCCAAATATGACCTGCAAGGAGTGAGAGAACCAACATGCTCTGCTACAGTAGCACCAGCAGTCAGGAAATCAAAAGATAAACTGCATTGGGAAAGTCTGCTGTCAGAGACCTCTTCAGAGTGCTAAAGAGCACTAGAGAAAAAGGTACACCTGATCAGGCCCTGGTCTTCTCAATTGCTTGCTGCGCATCTGATAGTTGGATAATGAATAAGGATGACAGTAGAAGAATCGATGCCTTTGAGTTGTGGTGCTAGAGTATTAAATGTACCATGGACTGCCGAGAGAACAAACAAGTGAGGGTGAAACCAGCTGCTCCTTGGAGGCAAGGATTTTGAAGCTCCATCTCACATTCTTTGCGCATCTTTTCAATCCTTGGAGAAGGACATCATGCTTGGAAGAGTGGATAGTCAGTACAGGAGAGAAAAACCCTAGATTTGATGGACTGACCTAGTAGTGACTGCGGCAATAGGGTCAGGTGTGCAGGAGATGGAGGAGTTGGTTCAGGACAGGGCAAGGTTCAAAGTCTTTGTCCATGGGGTCACTATGACTCATAGTTGGCTCAACAGCCCATAACAACCACCACCACCACTCCATATAGCAAAATATGGACACCTACTCCACAGGTGGAAAACTGAGACTGAAGTCACTCCTGCACATTTATGCCAAAGATAGAATATAGATCTTTCACTATAGTATGGCAGGTGGAAAAACTCTCAAGTAAAAGGCTAAAACATAGAGGTAAAAGCATCTAGGATGCAAGCTCAGACTTATACAAAGCTATGTCAAGAACTCAGCCACACATTCAAGCTCTCAGGTAATGGGCCTGGAGGAGGAAATGCTATCCTGCCTTAAAACGTTAAAAATTGGGGGGAAACCAAAGCATCAAACATTCACCAATGACTGCAGAGTAGGGGAACAAACAGGAAAATTTTAAGAAGCCCAGCACTCCAAAATCCTGGAAGTTGTCTATACACAAAAAAAAATCCTATGCCCTGGAAGCAGTCCATAGTATATTCAATACTCTTCTTCAGCACCACATCTCAAGGCATCATTTCTTCTATCATTCTTAGTCACTGACCAGGATTCTGATGCATAGCACAAAACTGTGAAGACCATGGCCTGGATCAGGTGCATCTTAGTCTCCAGACAGATATCATTGCTCTTCAGTACTCTGGAGAGGTCCCTGACAGCAGACTTTCCCAATGCAATTTGCCTTTAAATTTCCTGGCTGCTGGTACCAAGAGTGTTGATTGTGGAACCAAGCAAACTAAAGCAGTTAACAATCTCAATCTCTTCACCATCTATCAAGATGCTGCCAATTGTGCAGTGGTGAGAATTTTTGTTTTCTTGATGTTGAGCTTCAATCCATATTAAAGGCTGCAGTCCTTGACCTTCTGCAGCAAGTGCTTCAGGTCTTCCTCAGTTTCGGCAAGCAAGGTTGTGTCATCTGCATAACGCCAAGTTGTTGAGTCTTTCTCCAATCCTGATCCCACATTCCTCCTCAGAAAGCCCAGCCTTCCTATGATATGTTCCCCATATAGATTGAAAAACTATGGTGATAGGATATATCCCTGGCATACAACCTTCCCAATTTTAAACCATGCAGTGTTTCCTTGCTCCATTCTGACGACTGCCTTCTGGTCCAAGTATAAGTTTTGCATAAACACAACCAAGTATTCTGAGATTCACATTCTCCTCAGAGTTAGCAACAGTTTGTTGTGATTCACAAAGTCAAATGCCTTGAAATGTTCACTGAGGCTCCTCCTTGTTAATTAGAAAAAAAACTAAGATGCCCAGATACCCATCAATAAGAGAACAGTTAGATGATGGTCCAACTCTAATGGTATAATTCACAAAAGGATCTTTGTATATTTACAAGTAATGTCCAGAAAAGCACTTTTTATTGTTAAACAAGAAGGGAGATGCTACAAAGCAAATACATACAACATAAATAAAATGTAAAATATCTAACTGCATATTTGTATACAGGGTAATATAAAGAAAAGTTGGAAAGACATACTGTGAGAAATGGAGGGTGAGTGATAAGCAATAAAGGACAGACATTGTGGTGGATCCTGGCCCACTCCAAATTCCAGGGGTGGAGAAACGGGCAAGGAACTGCTCAATTCTTAAATAGCATCTCTAGTCCTTATGAAGCTTCCAAACCTGTCCTGTGGCACACTTATGCAACACAACTGTCCTTGCCATCCCTGCCAACACTGCCACTGATGCACTCGTTGGACACCCCTGATAGGCCCCAAGAAGGGGAAAGAATGATGGACAAAGGGCCCTGGCTGTCTGCACCCTGCAGAAATGGCTTCCTTTCTCAGGTATTCCATCTTCTCATCTGGCAAAAGATGAGGTTAAGTTAGTTGCTCTCTGTTCCCATCCAGATGTGATGAAGAGGGCTTCCCTGAATAACACTAAGGAGAGCACACAGAAGCAAAGGCCATGGCTGAGGAAATACAGTCCTCATCAAGAGATGGTTGGGTGATTTGTAAAATGTCTGTGCCTAGGAGGGTGACATCCCAGAAACCAAAACCAGTCACTGCTGGTACTCACTGCTCCCCAGCCTCAGTGTCCTCGCTCACTAAGGAGAGGTGGCCTAAATGACTTCAGACAGCTTCCAGTTTGAGCATTCTAAAATAAGTACAGGGCAGTGAGGGGCAGGAGGAAATGGGGCTTGAGGGAGACTGATGGGAACGAATTGGCTGAGGTTTTCCAAATGAGCCAGAGCCTGTAAGAGAGGGACTGGGGGAGGGCCCATGGCAGAGAGGAGCAGCTAAGTAAGCCTGTTGGCAATAGGGCTGAGGTCCCTCCCCTCCTCTTTTTTCCAAGAGCAGTTTCTTCCTGAAAGATTGAAAGATGCAAAAGCCTGGCTAATCTCTCCAACCACAAACAACCTCCCTCATTATTTCAGAAAATGCCATTCCTGTTGTGCCCTGGAGGTCTCAAGCTTATTCCCAAACCCACAATTCGTTTTTGTACACAATGAAAAAGTAAAGCATTTTAAATTCACTCTTCCCCTCACTATAATTAATAATCAACAGATTAAAAAAAAAAACCCAACACAAAATAACCCAGATTCAACTCCGATATGAAGGTTCCACTCTAATATTCTTAAGAATCAGAAAATGGCCGCTATGAGGTTTAAATATCTAATTTACCAAATTTGGCAGTTGTTTGGAATAACCGGGAAACTTAGAAGCTCTCCAAGAACATCCTGTGCTTAGCCCAGAAACTTCCTAAATCAAAGTTGACTATTCTTTAGGTAGTTTCTTGTTTATTTTTATACTGTAAGGTAAAAAAGCCTAATATCATCTCGTGCTTTCACAACAGCTTACAAGGAAGGCCAATCAAGGAATACAATTCCAAATTTACAGATAAGGAAATAAAATATACAGAGGCAAAGTGATTTGTTCAAGAGCAACATAAGCAGTTTCCCAGTGAAAGAGATAGTCAGTTCTCTCTCAAAATGCACCCCTGAAACTCTAGAGCATCTTACTAAGAATCTGAAATCTACCTTTCCCAAGTGGAAATTTCTCAAAAACCTTGACAGCGACACAGCCCATGATTTCACAGCTCAGTGTTTAGTTAGGCTTTTCGGTTTCATTCAGGTGGAAAGAGCTGAACCCCTTAGAGCAGGCCACCCTATTCCTACAGAGTGTGGACAAATCCACCCTGTGTGCCTGTAAGCAGCATGAAGCAGTCAAGCCAGGTGCTCTGCCTTCTCTAAGGGTTCTTCTACATGATGGCTACAACTAAGTCTCACTAGCCTGGCATAGGAGAGGAGTTAGTTTCCTGCCTACTGAGATAGTTCAGGGTGAGAGGGCATTCTGAGTAAATCATGACAGGAAGATGGAGAGAACGATCCACCAACACATTCCAAAGAAATACAAACATGGCCTAGCCCAGAACATAAGAACCCAGCCCTGCATGTGCTATGCCCTCCAAGTGTTCACTAAACCCTGGAGCTCACAAGCAGCCAGTGCTGTGTGCCCACAAAACCAGCAGGCTGGAGGAATCTCTTTTGGTGAGCTTTAAAATCTGGCTTATTTCCCATCTCCTGAATCAAGTAAGTCTCCAGGGCTGTGGAGGTACAGTTGTTTTTAAAGGCCAAGGATGATGCAGGTTTGGGAGTCAATGAACTAGTTCAAAGCCCTCATTTGATAGAAGCCTGCCAGAGAAAGGACCCACACAGGTCTCCATTCCTTCACTAGTGAATGCAGGGTGGGGAAGGTGGGCGGGGAGAGGAATCTCCACCTCTCCTATCAACAAAAGGCCCTCCAGTTAAAGTTCAATAGCAAGACCTTCCTTCTTATACAGTAGAAGTCTTCACCACTCAGGCGTTTGACAGTGATGACGATTTAGAATCTGGGCATGCTAGCTCTGGCAGGACCATCACCAACTGGTCCCCCAATCTCTCTGGGTGGGTAAGTCGAACGAGGCTGTAAGACAAGACTCTGAGAGTCCTTCAAAGCAGCAGGCTGCCCCTAAGCATTTAGTCTCTCCTAAGAAAACCCAGGCATTTTAGAGTCACCCAAAATGCATGAATCACAGAGAAGAGGAAACAATGTTCTTTTTCGGCGTACTTGACTTTTCCTTTTGTCTCTATCTACGTCCCACGGCCATCCAGGTCCCACGTTCACGCACAGCTTGCCAATTACCCCGGGTTGCTAACAGCAGGCCCGCTCCCGCCCTTCACGAGGCCCCGGGCTACCCACGCAGGCCCTGGGAGCGGAGTCTGGGGGCCCTCTGGGACTGGGCAATGTCCCCACAACGCTGGCCGCGGAGGCCCCGTCCTCGGCCTTCTCGAAACTGAACACCCCGCCCTACAAGCCCCCTGACCCCTGCCCTCCGTCCGCGACGCCAGGTCCCCGGCTTCGGGCCACAGCACTGCCCTTCCTTGACACCCGGTCCCTGGGACCTCTGCCCTGTCCGCGAGCCTCACCTGGCTCAGGTCCTCGTCGTTGAGCAGATGCGACTCGCGCGGCTTGAAGCAGTTTTGACACTTGCTCTTGTTGAAGATGTTGGCCTGGAATTTCCGACACGGGTTCTCCTTGGCAGTCGACATGGTCGGCGGGAGGATTCGCCCAGGCGCTGGCCGTCACACGCCAGGCCGCGGGGCCATGCTGGACTCTCGGCCAGCGCCAGTCGAAGCGGCCTGGCAGGCAGGTTGCTGCGGGCCGCCTGTGGAAAGGGCCTCAGGAAGGTGCAGCCCTGCAGCCACCCAGAAGCCACCTTGGGTGGGGCACTTCGGTGAGCGCGGCCAGTCCTGCCGGCCCATCCCCAGCCACCGGGTGCACCCCGTGGCCACAGGTCCACCTGCCCTGCCCCATGGCCGCATTTTTGCTGCGGATTTTTTTTAAAAGCTCTTCCTGGGTTTTGCTTGCAGTGTCCTGTAATTCTTCAAGTTTGTCTTTCACCCATTCAAAATATTCAGTCATTGTTCTTTTAAATTGTGTGTCAGAAAGTTTCATTAGACTTTCTGGCTTAAGGAAATCTATTGATACAGTGTCACTTTTTGGGGGGTGACATCTTGTGTTGGGCTTGTGTAGGCTGTGAGATAGCCTGCTTCCTATGTTACTTTGCTGTGGTAGAGTTTTTCATGTGGGAGGCAATAGCAAGTTCTTGATCTGAGGTCACTTATCCAGAAACGAATGGGGTAGTTACCTTGCCTTTGTTTCTCTTTGCCTTCTGACCCAAAGGAAGACCTGCTTTAGTTTTGTAGAGAAAAAGCATGTGAAAGCAGCCTCTTTTGTCAGCCAAGTGCCACAGCTAGGGTAGCCCAAGGTGCTCCTGGATAAAACATCAACACATTTGTACTACCTAGGCACTATGGTCTTCCTCTACCAGATATGTGTATATCTCTTTGTTGTTGCTGCTATGTGCCATTGAGTTAACTATGGCTCATATTGACCCTGTGCATAACAACTCTGAATCCTATTGTATCCTGAGCCAACCTCACTGTATCTGACACACCTACCGTCATTACCCCAGTTGCTATTTCAATTCATTACATTCAGGGTCTTCTTCTTTTGTGCTGTCCATCCATCATTCCAAGCATAATGTCCTTCTCTAAGGAATGGTCTCTCCTGGAAACATGCCCAAAGTGGTAAGACAGAGCATCAAAATCCTTGCCTTCAAGGAGCAATTCATCCGAGACTCTGGGCTGTATGAGGAGGAATGTGGCATCAGGATTGGTGGAAGAATCATCAATAACCTGCATTATGCAGATGACACAACCCTGCTGGGTGAAACTGAGAAGGACCTGAAGCGCTTGCTACAGAAGGTCAAGGATTGCAGCCTCCTATATGGATTGAAGCTCAACATCAAGAAAACAATGATTCTCACCACTGGACCAATTGGCAGCATCAGTATAGATGGTGAAGAGATTGAGATAGTTAACAGTTTTCATTTACTTGGCTCCACAGTCAACACTATTGGTAACAGCAGGCAGGAAATCAAAAGATGAATTGCATTGAGAAAGTCAGCTGTGAGGGACCTCTCAAGAGTACTAAAGTGCAACGACGTCAGGCTGAAGACTAAGGTGTGCCTGATCTGGTCTATAGTCTTTGCAATTATGTGCTATGC